AATCAAAGAAAGTGTGAAACATGCAAAAAACAAGTGGAAAAAATTCGTCTTATTTGAAACCGGCTACAAGAATCAACAAACAAATGAAATACCCAACAAAGAGCATTTGCATCAATTAGTCATATTTAAGCAGAAAACGRCAGCGCTGATTGCAGAGGTGCCGAAAATAAAGAGATAAAAATGTTGATAAAAATGATTTTATGTTAAATAAAAAACAAAAGAAATATGAATATGAAATGAGGGATGGTTGAACGCTCCACGTAAACATTTCAGCGCCCCAACAGCATCCCGTCACATGCGAAAATATTTGAAAAAATAAAATAAAAACAAGTTTTTAACCTAAAAATAATAATTGGTAATGCGTATTGTTGAAAAAATCTGTGCAAATAAACACTCAAACGCTGGCCGTTTACATRTAATTTGAATGCGTCACGGACAGTGACTCCCGTAAACTCAATTTGAACAAATGATAAACCACCATACATACATAYATATGTACATATATGTAGGTATATGGTACAATCGTTTATATTTTGCGTAAATCTCGCAATTTATTTACAATTTTTTCGAAGCTTGATTTTCCGTTGTAAAGTGTGTTATGTAAAAAACACAAATTTACAGTTAAATTCAAGGAGTTCGTTGGCTTATTCGTGGTTTTTATCGAGTTATGGATAATCTCCAATATAATCGCGGATCTGATAGTTTGAATATTTTTGTTTTNATATTCTAGAACTCAAAGTGCTAAAGTGGCAGTATGATCAACAACTAGAGTAGACATTAAATTCTGTCTTCGTTCGTTTTCTTCTTCATTTTTTTAAGACTCGTAAAAGACAAGTGGGGTGCCAATTATTTTGCTACTTGCTGTAGTTTRAAGATGTCATAAAAGCAGTGCATTTTGGAAATAAAGAAAATTGAAAGTAATATGCTTATGTCGTATACTATACATCATATGTGGATATATAAGTATGTATGAGTATATAAGGACGAGTAGATATGTGAGTAAAACCATAACATATTTGGASCAGATGTTCTTACAAACTTTTTGCGCAAAAATTGGTTCTTGGTTGCTATGTGAAAAGTGCTGATGGAGATGGATTGGAGTAGTTTTTGGTACATATATTGCCTTTATTCCACAGACATTCTATTAAGTAGATTTCTTTCGAAAATTCGATTCTATAGAAATAATCGATTTTCACAAGCTCCTCTATAAGCGAATTTGTCACCAGGAAAATCATGCACCATAAACAGGAACAGGTAGTAATTACTTGGTGATAGATCCGCACTTAAAGTTGGATGCATAAAAATATCCAAGCTAAACTCCTGCAGAATCTGGCGAGTCACCGTCGATGTATGTGGCCTGGCGTTTTCCAGCTGGAACACAATTCATCTTGCGTAAGACCAATTGTTGACAACACAGGTACAAGTTGACAGTTCTGCCATAGAGGCACAGCCAATTTCCCCAAACATTTGGAAAAACCTTCCCGATCTCCAATCTTAGCTCGAACCAATTTTTTTTTTTTTTTTTTTTTTTTTTGTATTTACTCACCCATATATCGAGTTTCTTTTTATACCCAGCCTTATTGAAATTTTTCCAAACGGTTTTTATGCAATGTTTAATGCCTGGGCAATCGAAACATTGCGCCGTTGGTTCTGCTTACTCCAGATTGGACAAAGTTTCAAAGCAAATGGGTCGGGTAATAAACGAGGGCAAGACGATACCAGAGCAAGACGTCACAATCGCGACACTGTTGACAGTCATAACTTCAAAGTCGTTGATAATTTCGTCTATCTTGAAACGATCATTAATTAAATTCTGAATTAATATTAGTTTTCAATTTTACAATTAAATATTAGATAAATTAAAAGTTTTCAAAAAATAAAATTAACTTTTTTTTTTAAATTAAA